AAAAAAAAAAGAGAGTTTTTTAATAAGAAAAGATCAACCAAAACACATGTGAGCACTTACCACAACCGCAGGGCTAAAGGGAACAGCTACTTTCTTAGTTATTGCTAGGTAGCCTGGTGCTGAAGCTGTAAGTTTGTAATTTCCAGGCACAAGCAACCTCCAGTAATCGCCATCCTTGGCTGTGGAGAAGCAGAAAACATCAGCTCCAGGAAAGGATGCATAAAAGTAATCATGAAACTAAGGAAAAGGGGCTGTTTGCCTTGCTCAGCATCTTCCTTATTCCTGTCAGCCCTTTTCTTCTGTCTCTCTGAAAGGATTCTTCTGTAAATGCTGTATAAATAGAGCACCACACATTTTCTTTGCTTCAGGTAACCAAAAACTTACATTTAAACTCTGAACTTGTGCTGTACCCGCTCCATGAAAGATTCTGCGCTTGTCAGGTTGAAGGCTACACGGCACATGGAGGAAAAGGAAAATGTCTGGGACATTATGGACAGGGTCATTACTGCTAATACACTTTTTCAGCACTTCTGCAACTGAACAGGGACACTGGAAGTGCCCAAGCACAGAGGGAAGTATTATTTAAATGTCTGCAATCCATATGGTCAGAAAATGTCAACAGTCAGTCCATTTCGGAAATCTCCAATTAAAGGGTTTTGGCTTCAAACTAAGCTGTTCCCAGATCTTTCTCTTCATAAAAGACAACGAAAAAAATACTGCTGCAGAGCTATGATGAGTGTTCTACTGCCTGGCACCAAAACTACCTGACACTTTCCTTTTAAGTCATGAACAAAGAGGTAGCCAAAAATAAAGCCTGAACATGTTCCTCTCTCTTTCTAAAGCTGCTAAAATTTGAGTGCTTATTTTCTCAGTGTTTTGACAATATGGGTGTCTCTCAGGCTGATAAACACAGTGACGGCAGAGGATTCATGTCCAGATGCTTTTCTGTACCATAGTACCCTGAGGTGTAATATCATCTGTATCAACCTCCAATACCTCAAAATGTCTCTTTCCACCACTTATTCCCTCCTCATAAATCCTGTCTGTCCATCCCCAGCCTTAATGCTTTGTTCCCTTTCTATACACAGTGAAAGAAAATGGTTCATGCTATTCTCCTGGTTGGCAGAAATGCTGTGGGTGATGTGAGAAAAAATACAAACCAACTGGGGGGCTAATCAGTCCCCTATCACCATATTCTCTGCCTCTGTAACACTACAGAGAGATGCATTGGTGGGAAAATGACCATAATGTCAGGTCATGCACAAATCACTGGCATTTTATTATTATTTTTCTAACCCCTATTTTGTGCAAATACAACATTGTCGTGCAAAATTAGAAGGCACAGGTCTATAGGGAGGACTTCTAGCTGCCACTGTGCAAACTACCTTTAAATTCACCTCTAGAACTAGGTGGGTGCAGCAATAGTGAAGAGGTGACACACTTGGTATAAACAACCAACACAGTATTTTTAGGAAGATAGCTCTAAAACAGAAAAGCATGTTACATAATTGTAAACAGCAGGTAGAATTTTTCTTCACAGAGGAAATTATGTAAACTGAAATTCTGTCAAGAATTTACATACCAAAGGTATGATCACACTGTAAGTAATATAAGAGATTTGGACTGCAATTTAGCTTTTATACTCAAAATGGCACTGCAAACAGGACATTAAATCCTGCCAGAACCTGAAGCCCAAATCAGCAGGCAACTACGCATGAGTCACCAACAGCCATAAGGAAAGATCTGCAGCCTAGAGCTGTCAGAGAATCCCAACAACTAGCCTTTATCCCCTTTGAAAGCAAATACCATAGGAATATTCCTGAAACCCTGCAGCTAACAACCTTCTTGAGAAACAGCGTGTTTTCCTGGCATCAAAATTTGCTCAGTTAAATAAGCTTCAGCTAGCATGCTCTGCAATGCTCTGATTCCAGCACTTCTCATTTTCTGGAAGCACGACACTCACCTGATGTGATATCATGGCTTATTCCCTCTACAGAGATTGTAGCATTTGCTATTGGATTGCCCTGAAGATCTTTAACAAACCCCTTCACTCCTCGATGAATCTGAAAAATAAACAAATAAATAAAGCAGCAAACCATGTCAGAAATGAACACTCACTTGAAACACTTTGTTAATGGGAATTAACGATTTTTTTTTTT